TGATTGCTTTTCAAACCAGTCCTAAATAAAATAGGAGAAAGGTCGAATTTTATACTCACATAGTAGTGACTTCGCCACAAGACAGGTCTTCACCAGGGCGGATAAAGGTTCCAACCTTTATCCGCCCTGTTAATTTCCAAGCATGCGCACTGCGCTGTTTTTGATCTGTTTACTTCCGGCCACCGAGGTAAAGGTCGCCGTAGCGATTTGCTTCAAGACCCTACTATAAAGTTAAAACTTAAGTCAAACCCTGTAACATGGACACTGAAGGGCCATAGAAATTTTCCGTATTAACGGGGTGTCTGTATTGAGAGGGAATCCATAACGCAGGTTTTGAGTGTATAGTTAGTTGTTTGCTTGTTTGTGTTTTTTCTTAGATTGTCAAATTCAGTCCCGACTTTTTTGATAGCTGTTTCAGTGCATACGATTATTTGGGTGCAACTACGGGAAAAATTGTGTTTAGTGCACAATTATATTAAAGTGCCCATAACCTGAAACATGTTCTTTAATTTCTTATCTGAAAGTACACACTACTAAGAGAACTTTCCGTTGACGAAAAAAAATTGCGATTTGAAGAAAACGTGATTTTTTAAAGAAGTTTTTAAGTGTGTTGCTTTAATGTCTACGTTAAAGGTGCTACTGTGAGAAAAAATGCATTCTGTTGCAGATGGAGGGAATTCCAAACCCGAGTGAGTACAAAGCATATTGACGACTTTGGCCTGACACATTTTTCCTGCACAGTATTTAAAAAATACAGCATGACAAACCATTACGAGAGTCCACCTCAGGTTTGTCTAAACGGAGAGTTTTACAGTCAGTATTTTCTGGATTACATAACGAAAGTTTACGCTGCCATGAACAGAGACAAAAAGGCCAAATCAATGCTGTCCTTTATGCACTTTAACACTGGACACGAGCATACTGGGGTACGAATGATCAACATGGATGCCAACTTGGCAAAGTTCTTTGTGAATATAGTTCAGAGCCCTGACACTCTTACTGTGATATTTTCCGACCATGGCAGCAGGAATACTCAGTATAGTTATACTGACGAGGGGAGAAGAGAGACTTTTGATTCGTTCCTGTTTATGATAATTCCAGACCAAGTGGCTGAAAAGCTCGGCCATCAGCGAATGACGGCCCTGGTTGAAAACCAAAAGCGTCTCTTTACGTTGCTGGACCTACATACAGCACTTGTGTCTTTAAACCATCCTGAACTAATGAGCTCCCAGAATTCCAATGCAGTAGGGATATTTTCTGTTTTACCAGCAAACCGCACATGTGCAGATTTGCAGTTGATGCCGCTGACCAGGTGCAAGTGTGAAGGGTTCGACGATTATAGCCAGGCAGAAGACAACTCAAAAAACCACAAATGGCTAGCGGAGTTTGCACTGGGGACCTTAAATGATGCCATACAGACACAACATTTAGGAGGTACATGTAATAGTGAGCTTATTTAAGAAGCAACTACCACGACGAGGTCAGGGTAACGTCACTGAAAAGTAAATTTCTATTCTTCAAAGTCGTCATTATTCTATCTGTGATAATTGCCATTTTCCTACAGATTAATTGTTAAGGGAGTGCATTCAAGTTTACAAAGAGAATGGAAAATTCCTTGTTATGTAATCTCGTCCGTTATTAAGCCGTCGAACTAACAAATTTCATTCCGAAGTTGGGCGGAGGAAGCCAAAGAAACATACCAAAGGTGTGATAGACTGGCACATCTTGTTTTGCCCGATAAAAGAAATTGACATTACAGCCTCTTATCGGTTTAGATAGCGGCCCGAGGTTATTCACTTAACTCATAGAAATCGCAAAATTGTTTTGAAGCTCAAAAAAAAAAAAACGATCTTTACGCCGGGACGAGCAAATTGTAAAACACATTCTCTTCTTATATTGGTCATAAAAGACACTATGAGCTGGTCTAAAACGGTAGTAACGTGCGAACGTGCCTACCCCCGAATATTAGCCCGAGGGAGTTTAAAAAAGACGTTTTGGAATTTTGAGTGAAGCACCTCAACCGGAATTGAGGCGTGTTTCCCTTTAATACATCTTGAAGCTGCCAAATTCGTAATGTTTGGCATCTTTGTTGTTATGGAGACGACTTACCCCAAAATTTTGGCGTAAGTCAATAATTTTGACAGATTTTGATTTTTGAATCTTAGATTTCTTAGTGTTATTTTATTTTCCTCTTTCGATTGTTTTTTATTTTTTAGCTATTTATGAGATAATTACAGGACCCTTTTGATAACAGTTCTTTTTATTAGAACTGATAGGTTATCCTGTATAAATATTCGCGTTATTATTATTATTACCCGGCAGAATTTTTGCAAAAAGTACACTCCCGGTTGACACGTGTGTCGCTCAAAAACGTCTTTCCTAAAACTCGGTATTGACTGTTTAACGAGTTGTTTCCTACGTTTTTTTTACAGGTGCTGGTGAAGTTGTAACCTCATCCCAAAGGTATGGCTATGGAAACTGTCAGCGCTTGGTGGGGAAATCATTTACTAATATTTTGCAACGTTTCCAAGGAGACTACATCTTGACGACAATGGATCTCCACGTGGTCCCTCCAGCTGGTTTTACGGAAGACGAAGTCTTTAAAGTTTCTTTGAAAAACCACGCAAAGCCGGAAGACAAAGTTTGGTTGACAAGTTATACTCGCCAGTCCAGATATAGCAAGTTTAAGACATGCGCAGACAAGTCAGTTGACATTAAACTTTGCGCATGTGCTCTTGATCAAACTAATCTTGCTGAATCAGTCAGCAATGGGGTTCCAAGTAAAATGTTTGGTTCGGAGACCGTTGTAAAAGACCTCCACTTAGGATGTCTATTATTTCTGAGAAGGGATCACGGATTAACCTCTTTAGCGTTGGAAGTAGCAAACGTTTGCTACAATCGCACTTACAAATTTAAACTGGACGGTGGAGGAACTGAGAGACTCTTTTCTAGAACCCTTCCCATAAATGTTGAATTGCTACCTAGGTCATTTTATTTTCTAACATCCATTACGAAATATGCGTCGAAATTCACCCATCAATTACATTTTACAGCAAGTGTAGAAGTTAAAAATGACAATTCTGAAGATTTTATAAACTTGGGAGAACATGACGTGTCTGAGTAACTAACAAGATCAATGAATCAGACTATTTTCCACAAGTTTCCTTCGCCCATGTAAGAGAATCCGGAATCCACAATTGGGGAGACTTTAACTTACGGAATCCGGAATCCCGGGTTTTGGACTCCAGAATCCATTTCAAGGAATCCGGAATCCCACGATGGAATCCAGGGCCCCGTTTCTCGAAAGGCCCGGAAACTTTTCGGGCCCGGAAAGCTGCAGGTGTGTTTGGATTCAGATTAAAGTGTGAATAATTCTGAAAATGATAAAATGAAGCGATCAGTTAACGAATGGGATGAATTTAGTCGTCAAACGGCTTAAAAGCAGCCTTTTATTTTGCTTCTCAACCATGTAAAATAAGAATTTAATATTTGTAAAATAGAAATCTAACATATATTTTTTAGAACATGATAGGTGCCGGTACAAGCTTTCAGTTTTTAGAAGGTTTCATTGACCTCTGTGTGAATGTGTGGCGCGGGGGTTTTGGTTTTTAAAGGAAGAAAAGATTGACCACGAAAGTGGCGAAGATTCGTTGAACGGGACGACAGAACCTACAACCGTAAGGCCGATAGTTTCTCAATTTCCTTCCCACAACTCCTCAAGTGACGCGCTTCAAATTTAAAATTAAACAGATAAACGACTGAGTACAAGCCTGAAAGTAAGAAATTGAAAGATATTTTCATCGTTTGAGTCGATAAAATTCATGTTTTGGCCCTCTCAAAGAGTTTCAGAGCGAATAACGAAGGGTTTTAATTTGCGCTCAAAACGTTAACTCACTTCTTTTGCTCAAGCTCCGTTTTAACTTTTTATTGGCTGTGTTCTGCTCCAGCACCAACGCAACCCTATTGTTACTAGACAAACTAACCCGTGGCATGTTTTGTTTTATGGGATTGCAGAAAGAACCAGCTACTTCCAAACATGGAAGGTTCCCAATTTAAAGTAAGAACTAAATACCAAGTTGAAAAATATATTTCCACCAAGAATAATGTAGAGTTTTCTGGAAAGTACTCAAATATGTTCGAAGATCTAAGCAAGAGTCTGCGGCGTAAAATATTAGGGAACTTAAGAACCACGACGACGACTTTGTCGACGACGACCGGAAGTGAGATACCGTGCACTGCGCAAGCGCGGTTAACAAATTTCGTCGTCGTGGTGTCGTCGACGACGCCAAACACAGTAGAATCACGTCGTCCTGCAATCCACAAGCTTCGGCAGGTATAACTCCCTGTTTTTAAGCGATTTTTCAAGGGCTTTGTATTTTTTCACCTCGTAAATCCAGGTATCCTTTCTTTTTTCTCCTAACAAGCGATGTTGATTGAAAATTTGACTGATGAATTGTGTTTACTTCGAAGACAACACTGAGCTGTGCAGGCCGAGCGAGCGAACTCGTAAGTGACAAATTTATTTGAACGTATTTAGGTCAGGCAAATCATATATCTTTAATATAGAGGAAATGAACTTCATATGGAAAACAGCTATCGCATCGGAATGTCTCTTTTTCCAAATCTAAACTATGACAGACACTCGGACTCGGTCATGTCATTCAGGTTGAAAGTTGAATAACCTTCGTACGGAAAGCAGAGATTTTTCCATTCGAAAAGGTCTGACAACACTAAAAATTCTTCATCGTCAATGAAAGTGGACGTACGGCTATAAAATAAGATCTTGCATCGTCTTAAAAGACGCCTTTGCGAAAAAAACTTTGTTGCGAACGAACATCACAGTCTACATGTTTGTTTACATTCAGTGTCGTCGTCGTCGACCTACCGATCGACTGCATCTTAAGTTTCCTTTTTCCCGCCGAAACTGACGTTCTCGTTCCAGTCCTTTCCCAGTCAACAGACGTCGTCGTCGTGAACTTTGTCGTGGTTCTTAAGTTCCCTATTACCGTAACAAATACTACGACCCCCATAAACTGCGCAGAGGAAATTTCTACTCCTTGTTTACGTTTCTTGAGAATCATCGGATGATTAAACTGTAACTGATGAAAGGCAAGGGTCGCCATCATTTTGGTGTGTTTATATGCGATGTATAACATCTGCATAGTGGTAAGAAGCAGTAACATACACTGTATTAGCCGAGACACGAACACCCTTGAAATTTTAAAAGTAATGAATATATCTTTTGAAGCAATCTGTTTTAGAATGACAGCAATAAGAAAATGGAACACTGCGGGAAAAAGCCAGCTGAGGATTACCATAGTAACGATGCATTGTGACGTCATGATAGAAACATACTTAAAGGGCATCACTATGGCAACGTAACGGTCAACAGTCATGACGCACAAGTTAGTCAACGAAGCGAAAGCGAAGTAAGCGGCGAAGATCCGTCGGAGTTCTCGATCACATGGCAGGTAAAATTCGCAAGTGAAAAATGTTGGGAAATAAGTTAGGCCAAAGCAGAAATCAGCAATAGCCAGGGACATGATAAAAAGATTTACTTGTGTTTGGAGACGTCGGTCGGTGGCGATGAGATAAATAACAAGCGTATTTCCTGAAACTGCTGCGACGTTTAAAATCCAGCCTGGCACCCAGACCCAAGGTAAATGATCGGCTGAAAACGTCGCTAGATCGACTGGAGGCATGATTTATCCAGTAGACACCGCCTGTTTTGGCTTCAGATTCGATTTAGATTCAGAATTACAGCACCACCAAATTTCACTTCAGTTCCTTATATCTTGCTCAAAAAAGCCAACGCAGCAATAAACTAAGAAGGTTTATTACTTCATCTCGGTAACACCATTTCTCGTGACGTTCACATTTGTACGCCATATAACATTTTGTTAATGATATATAAAATAAATCATATATGAACTGCGGAAATGAAATGAAAATGAAGAAATGATCGTCGTAGTGAATGCAATTTATGCAATTGCGTAAAGAAGCCTGAAAAAAATTCAGGACTTCAACGGGGTTTGAGCCCGTGACCTCGCGATTACCGGTGCGATGCTCTACCAACTGAGCTATGAAGCCACTGACGTTGTGAGCAGGTCAATTGTGGGTTCATATGTTGTCAATTGTGAATTAACAGATACTTTTTCTTTGAAGCACAAACTGCCTCCTAACACTAAAATTGAACTAAATTTTGAAATGGAAAGCGATGCAAATCTAATTTTTCAAGCTGGCGCTAATTGCAGAGTTATTATAAAAAGACGTCAGTTATTTATTCCAAAGTTAACTTTTAACTCAGAAGGTCAAAAACTCTACATGGAAAATTATCTTAAACCTTACAAATGGACTTATCTTAACGAAGTCGTCGAGATATCAAATAATACGCATCAACAAACAGGTCATTACACAATTACAACTGCTATTTCAAAACCACGCCATGTATTTGTTTTTTGAATTACCTCAGCAAATATTGGAAACCAACAAACCAATCCATTTTTGTACAATACTTTTAATTTACCAAACAATGCTAATGTAACACGATGTTATTTAGAAGTTGCAAATGGAAATGAATATCCTGATATTCACTATAAACCATCTTCAGATTTATCAAGAGTTTTTAGGGGTATATCAGGATATGTTCACGCAAACAACGACTTTCAAGGTGGAACAATTCTTGATATAACTAGCTACAAAACTCTATACCCTATTCTTTAGTTTGATCTAACAAAACAAAAAATGGATATAAAAGATGGAGTTACAAAACTAGCTTTTCATTACGAACTTTCTGCCAATCCAAATGCTGATTATAACATTTACGCTCTTGTTCTTCACGAGCGAGAGGCAGAAATAGAACAAAAAGACGGAAAATTACTGCTTAGAGCTTAGCATAACCATTATATAAAATGAAATCATTTAGAGATTATTTGTTGGTTATAAAGATTTCGTTTTTAATCTCGATCAATCTTTAACAAACCCTGCTAGAAACAATTATCAAAACAGAGGTAATTGTAAATTTGTTGTTGACGATAAAACTTCACTCGATTGGTATAATGCGCGATTATCAATAAATTTTAAATTAACAAAACTAACTGGAAATAATGTAATCATCAATGACAACAATGGAATTGTTAATGGCGCGAGTTCATTTTTTAAAAAAATTAGTTCAATCATTAATGGCCGAGAGGTTTATCAATGTAATTCTGCCAATCATCTCGTAAATATTAAAAACTTACTTGAGTATAATCCCTCTTATACTAAGAGTGTTGGAACAAGTGAATTTTACTATCTTGATACATATAACAACCCAAACAGAAATAAATATTTATCAAGGCAAGTCCAACACGGAAGAAATGTTGCAAACGATGGTTGGACGCCACGAAATTTTATTGAAAATGAAGATACTACTTTCAATGAGGGGTTTACAAAAAGAAAAAGTATACTAAAAAATTTAATTATTGTCAATTGTGAAATTCCTCTTAAAAGTTATTCATTTTTTAAGGTTTTAAAGGATATGATGTTGCCAAATTCCAAATTCGAATTAAATATTGTACTAGAAAGTGACAACAACCTTATTTAGCCTTATTTGGAGAGCGGGTAATGATGTTTGTAAAGTAGTAATTACAAAACTACAACAGCCTTACTATACATTCCTCGTGTAACATTTGACAAAAAATACAAAACAACAACTACAAAATCTTGGTCTTATCTTGATGAGTACGTGACGAATTCTACAAATTTAAGACAAGGAGAAGGAAATTTTAGAATAACAAACTCTATTTCAAAACCTCGCCATGTTTATGTTTTTATTGTAAACAGCGCAAATATAGAGTCACAAACAGCCAATCCGTTTTTATATCAAACTTTTAGTGTCGCAAATAATAAAAAATTAACAAGATGTTACCTTAAAGCAATGAAAATATTTATCCCAAAATACGTTACAAACCATCCACAGAGCCATCAAGAGTTTACAGGGATGTCATGAGCCACATTTACACAAACAACGATTTTCAAGGCGGAACACTTCTTAATAGAGTTAACTTTGAAAACTTGTTTCCATTTGTTTATTTTAACCTACCGAATATACTGAGAAGATAAAGTAGATCTTTCATTTCGTTACGAACTAAGTGGAGAACCCAATGCTGATTATATCATCCACGCCATTTTTTTACATGAAAAGTTATATGGTTCTTACTATAAATGACAACTATATATTGAATATGGTGTAAAACTAACAAACAGATGGGCAAAAGTCAAAACTGGCTTCTGCAATCAGAAATAAATCACCACTTACTCTTCGTCCGAAAAATTCACAACTACGCGGCTCAGATGAGTTAATGCTAACCCGCAAACAAATCGCTAAAATAGAAAAATCACTGGCAAATGGAACAGGAAGTGATATAAAGATAAGCCGAACACAGATTAGAAAATCAGTAAAACATACTACCTTTTTTGTTATTTGGATATTTGGTTTCAATTTGAATGCGTTTATACTTAATTTTTGAATCCTTTACTTTGTACTCCTTTGGCTCTTTAAAAATAATGTTATCGAGGGTGAGATTTTCGTAACGACTCAACTGCATTTTTGTTAATATTTAGATAATCTTTAAATCATAATTCAATTTTAGTTACAAAGTTCTATCACATATCTGTATCACCAGCATACAAACTTATAATATATGACAAACTAGTACTTATACTAGCAAAATAATTACTTAGACAACTATTTAATTCACTTAAAGGTTTTTCCTCAAAAGCTTTTACCATATTGTCAGTATTTTTTTTGTAAATCTTCAAGTGAATAAATTATTAAATTAAATTTGGGAATATATTTCACTAATTCATTAAATTTTCTTTCATTTTCTTTTTGATATTGTCTAATAGATCTCAAAGCATTAAAATCATATTTTTTAGTTGCTGCTAAAAAAATCTTCACTCATTTTTGTTATTATCATTTAATCTTTAAACAATTTACTTTTTTACAGCGAGCGAAGCTATCGAGCATTCCACTTTCATCACTTATTGATTTTCTCTAGTTTATTTCATTTGGAGAAAGTGGTGAGATGTGTATTAACTAATATGCACCACGCTTTTGATGGTGAGAGATGGTTTGTATAAATGAAAAAGTTTAATAGTTTTAATAATGTATGAAATTTTGCCTAAATTAAGGGGGGAATTTAGTGATAATTGGGAATATGGGAATACGGGGGAGTTTTTAATAATGAGGAATGAATGGAGGGTTTTAAATATTTTATGACGGGGCAATTGGGGGAATAAGTTTTATAGAAAAATTTGGGGTTGTTCCAGAAAGCATCCTATTATAACTACTCACGAGCTTGGGCTACCTGTGTTTCCAAGTGCGAAAATCACTCTACAAGCAACGCATTTTGATTGGTCAAATCTCGTGATGCACACCGCCTACTACTAAGCCCCCCCTGGAGAGGGACCTAATATGAGATTTACGGTAATTTTAATTGGTTCTTAAAACAATAGCCAACAGAAGAAGTGGCTATTTGGCAGCTCCGACGTTCGTGGGGAGTGAACGCGTGACGGTGCCTTTCGTGTTACAAAACCACTGAACGTGTGCATGCATCGCGTTGATGAAAATGAAAGTGTGAAGTGTTTTACTTTCATCGGCTATCTCTGCCTTGTGAAAAAGCACAGTGAAAAATGCGTCGGAATCGCAAGTATTTTGTAAGTAGCTAGACTGTTTATTATTGTATTATATGTGTAAATAATATTACCCACTTGCTTGGCAATAGTGAAAGGGTTGTTGTACGGTTGTTTAGGGCGTCAAGGGCCGACGCGAGGACAGAAAAGAACTCTTATTTTACTCTCTGCAGGGAAAACTCGACACTGCGTTCGCTGTTGCTATCTGTCAGCTTTGGCGGTTTCAGTTATTTCTGTCTCCCTGCCGTTTGATAATTTAAGCTTATGATATCTTCCGCGTAGTATTTATCATTATGATAGCCTTTTCCGTTTTTATTTACGCCAAGCCTGTATGGCTGGGATGCAGAGGAGTTCTCTGCCCGAGATAGATGCTATTCCCTATCCTATTATTATGCGCTTAATTCGTTCGAGACATATGCGTGGCATCACGTTTTTAGGTTGGACGGTAAACATTTTTGTTGCTTGTTTGACGATCATAACCACGGAAGCGACTTTGTGAGCGAGGCATGACATGCAGGAATTTTCTTTTGGAAAGTTAGCTGCATTTTGGAGAAGACGTACACTGAGAAACGGAATGAAAGGTTATTTGGTGGCAGTAGATACTGGCCAGCCTGCACTACATACGCATTGTCAGTCACATGCACAGTCGATGTAGAGTGTCTGCGACGCTGGCTATAGTTAGCTTACGGTTTAAGTTAAAGATGTCAACGAAAATGCTACTGACTGATTCTGAAGTCAGTTATATCATTATTAAAAACTCCGTGGCTATATGCCCGGCATCCCGGAAGGGTCGTAAAAAAACTAAACACTTGGCATTCAGACTGAAATTTTCTAGAATTTCTGCAAAATCCCTTTTTCTAATCGTTTGAATTGAAAGTATTCTATCTTCATTTAGAATAGCCAAGCGATAAGACAAACAAACCTGGCTTCGCAGCTGAGCGGTTGTGGTTTCTTGGGCATAGAGTAGAGTGGACGCTGTTTG